GGTTGGAGCCCTTGCCCTCGGGTCTGCCATCCCGACGAGGGAAAGCAGCTCTCCCCCCATCCCTAACGGCCGGCAGCATTTTATCAGCAACTGCTGAAGGTCTACCACTCAGTTCAAGGTCAAGTGGAACTGCGTGGGGAACGTACCCTGACCATCATGCCTCCACCGCTCCTCAGGTCTCTCGCTGTGCTGGGATTCTTTCACAACAAACAACGCATCAACAGCAAATACTTACTTTTCCAGCCAGCACTTCTCAAGTGCATGCTATATACACCTGCTTACATCTGTGAACAAAATAAGCACAAAATATAAGCTGGATATAAAATGTATAATACAAAGAATACCATGAAATCCACAGAAGTCCTATTGTTGTTTTGAGGCCCCCATCTCCTTGTGAAACACTTGCCACTGACAGCTGTAGACCCTGGCAGTCTGAGAACTTGAACCATACCTATTAATACCTGTGAAAAAACAAACAAACAAATTAGGTGATACATGGATGAAGAAGAACAAAGACCAGACCACTTCCACAGCAGAAAGGTTACAGCTCCACATGCAGAATTCCTGATGTGCTCAGAAACTTTCTTTACAACAAAAGGAACATACTCTTTTTCCAACACAGCTTGTTCTCATACCAAGGAGATCCACATAACCCATTGTCACTTATGTCTGGCAGTTACTCAGCCATTCCTCCCCATACATCTCTAAAGCAGCAATCCTATACAAATCTGAAGGATTTCAGACTAAATACTACTCTGAGCATTCTCTTTCTTACAAAAGAATGATGCCCACCTTATTTTTACAGGCAAAATGACAACAAACTGGAAGAAAAACAATCAACCTTGGATTTCGAAGTGTCTGTCAGTGGGTAGCTGCGTGCTCTATCCTTCCCACCGAGGTCTGAGTTCTTGATTGACATTACAATTGTCATTGCCAAAAGTCTGATACCCTATGGACCTCCCAGACTTGGTTACTTGTGGAGATCAGATACAGCTTTCATCAAAAATTCCTGCATTATCATTTATGTGACATTG